TATGCTCTCTCTCGCTCTTTGACTTTTTCCTATCCAGCTTGACTGTGATTACAGCACAGCAGCCCTGTGACTCTTGTTCTGTTATGAAAGTATTTTAACATCGCAGCACTCTACAATGCAAGGCTGGAGAGGAAATGTCACATCATACTCCCTCAACTAAAAACCAATGCGATGAATATGAATTTATAGGGCGGGGCCTACCAGTATGATTTGTGACATCGCAAATTGTTTAGTAGTCAATCCTGGTCCAGTATGAAACTTATATAAGTGTGATGTAGAAACTTGAAGCTAGTGCTCAAGTGAATGGACTTTGAAGTCAGAGACATCTTGTATCCAGCAGAGAAACATAATATGCATATTCATAGATTCAGGATTTTTTACCTTTTAAGAGTTTATATATGTATATATAAGTTATTCATTTATATTTGAGCTATTTAAAAAAAGCTAACTCAGTCACTAATGAAGACTATGAGATGTGTCTGAAAGCCCTGGTGGAAATCTACACCTATCTACGTAAGCAGTTAAAATGTTAAATGATTTGTTCATGTGTGGAATCATACATCCATGTTATTTTATGTTATTAATCATTCATTAACTGTTTATAGACCGGTTAAGTACACCTACATTATGGTGTGTTATAAACCATTTTAAGTATTACTTACAGCTCATAATGAGGGGGCTTAAAATAAAGTCTTACCAAAAAATTTCTAAAAAGAGACTGAAGAGATAATTTAGAAGACGAGCTTACAAAACACATATATCAAAATAAGTATCCTTTGGCTTTATTTGCATTATGGTTGTGCAAATTAGATTTATTATTGGTTTTGATGTACTTTTATGGCAATATTGTAACTATTTTATTTACTGTGTAAAAATTAGTTATTGCAAATACACTGTAGGCTATGTCTTAATAGATAGACCCAGGAAGGTTACCAAGGTAACCACTCCAAATAAAAATAAGCTGCTACAAATAAGTTACAAAGTAATTTAATTATACATTGAGGTATATGATTTTTATTCTCTCTTACCAATAATACTGTAGTCAGTGCTTTTGAAAGAAATGCCCAACCCAACAACTGCTGTAAAGCTGAAAGAGAACCGTGGGGCATTAGAGTGTTAGCAGATATCTTGATCATCTGGCAGTGAGCATATGCAACAAAGTAGAGGGGAAGATACCACATAACCACACTAGAGCCCATCAACATATACAGTACAAGCGTCTAATAACATGTGATACGATATGCTCTATTACAGACTAAGTCTCCACCCAGCACTGATCCTGACAGCAGTGACTGAGGATCCCTTTGATAAATCAGTCAGTGCCTCAGTACACTGACAAGCCCATCCCATTGGAGTACGACTAGTAGTACCAGAAGCATCATTTTGAATGGACTGCCCACACATGTCCAGACCTTCGCACGAGCCAACCTCATGCAAACCTGCCAGAAGCGTAAAAGAAAAGAAGGAGATGGCAGGGCCATAACTAACATTGACGACACTGAGGTCATGTCCTCAGGTCAGATTATGTTGACCTAAAGATGAGTTTTAATTCTGCAATTACACACATGCATTACAATTTTTTGTTTTGTTTACTTTTATAGTTTTTTCTCCATCAACTTTCCCTCTAGTGGCATCATAAGGTCAAAACTTTTTTTTTTTTTCATTGGTTTTTGACTAAATACCTGAATAACATTCCCACCAGGCTCAGCGTTACTTTGTGTTTAGTAGTTAAAGCTAATGTTATCATGATAACATGCTAAACTAGGATGGTGAACATGGTAAACATTATGCCTGCTAAGCATCAGCATGTTAGCATTTAGCTCAAGGCAACAGTGTGCCTATGTGCAGCCTCACAGAACTGCTTTAGTGTCCCAAGGCAGTATTGCCAAAGGATATCACAAGGCAAACCAGAAATTATTTCCTCCATAAAAATTCTCTAATTTTGCCAAAATCACTAACATAGTTGGTGGTGTGTGCCTTATTGGTGTAAAATGTTATGAAGTTCTTGTTACAAGTTACATAGGCGTACAGGGCACGGAGTGTGAATAAAAGAGGCACCATTCTCCTTTTTTAAAGTCAGTGTACCATCAAAATAATTTTGAAGCTGTTATTTTAAGGTAGAACAGTTACATAATGTTGCTTTAAATACTATGAGAAGTCTTCGTGTTCAACCCCAGACCTGTTAAATGGAGAATTGTACTGAAATAATTTATGTTTAATGCACTTAATTTCATCCAGATGGAGTAGTTTTTAAAAAAAAAAAATCTTTCTGTAAGAACAGCCAAAAGCTATAGAATGTGTAATTAAAACACAAGAAGTCAAGGGAAACTGCACTGTATGTGATGCAAAAAAAAAACTACTGGCTTGGCAAAGTTAGCAAAACCTCCAAGGAAAGATTATGGAGTTTACAAAAAGGGAAAGGAGAAGAAACCACAAATGTCGTCAAAAAGAGGGTTTATCCTTGAGGTTACTGCTTCTACGTAAATGAACGTGGGCTGTAAGGCCACATGAACACTGAGCTTCTGATCTGAACAGAAAACTCACGAGAATCTAGAAAGATTGCACACTGACGTATAAAAACGCACACTGTATGTTCTCATGAATGACACATGTGCACAAACATACAAAATTAAAATGAAAGACAATTATATCTTTCATCAGTTGAGACATTACCTCCCACTAACCCTCCCCTCAAATCAGTGGCAGTTCAAATAAGACAGTGTTTCTCTGGTTTGATGAGCCCCTCTGTGCAGAGATGTGTCTCTCTAAGGAGAGGCATTCATTAGAGCACTGCACCACCCACATGCAGTTTACCGACCCCTCGACCTCACATTAACAATCTCTGCAGGCTGTGTTGTGAGTGTATGTGTACGTATTTGTGTACGTGCATGTGGTTTGGTGGGTCTGATGGCTTTCCCGCTCTGCAGACCCTGTTTCCACTTTCTCTTGGAAAATCCTTCCAGACCTTGACAGAGTTTTTGAGCCAGTGGGTTATGTTGATGACTGTGTGCAAAGAATAACTGCACTCACAAATGCTTTTGGCAACTTGTTCAATTCCACAGTAGCAAGAAAACAAACGCAAATGTTTAAGATTCTGGTCTTAAAAAAGCATGTTTTTTTTTGTTAGTGTGGACATAAGACCAAGAGTTCGCCCCTGCTCTGGACCTAATTTTAAAGGAACCATTTCAAATCTTTGGAAATAAGCTTATCTGCTTTCTTGCTGTGAGTTAGACAAGCAGATACCACTGTCATTTCTTACTGCAATACATGAAGCTGGAGCCACAGGATGGTTTTCTTGCCTTGGCATAAAAACTAGGAGCAAGGGAAAAGAGCTAGCCTGCCTTAATCAGAAGGTTTTAAAAAAAAAACAGCACCTCTTAAGCTAACTAATTGTCATGTTATATCTTCTGATGTGTCTGATGTGTAAAAATAACAAGTTGGGTATTTTTCGGGGGGTTAGGTGCTGGACTAGTCCTTGGGGGTAAGGGTTACAATTACTTCCAGTGGAGTTTCTGATGGTTGCCTTGGACAGAGCCAAGCTAGCTGTTTCCCCACGCTCCCAGATATGGACAAATACAAGAGTGGCATTGAACTTCTTGACAAACTCTCTGCAAGAAAGCAAATAAGTTTTTCCTTTCGTGTTGAGATGCTTCCTTAATAGTTTCTATTCACTATTAGAAGTCCAACACCAGCAAAAAAGCTGGAAAAATAAATATAAAAGTATAATTATCCTATTCTCCCCAACAGAGACCTTTTGCTACCTGGGTGCTTCACAGGCAATCGTGACACAAGTAGAATGGTAGCGACCATAAAATGACAAAGGTCTAACACTTAAGCATCATTGGGCCAGTTGTTTAGGAACAGGCAGACAGAAAGACCAGGTAAAGAGGTGAGGGCTTAGGGATCATGTGGTGCTGGGGCCATAGATGGAAGGGTGTTGACGCTAATTAATCCAGATTAATCCTGGAGAGTGATCCGGGCTCACACTGATGGTATGCCAGTCAAATTGTTGCTATGACTGGTCACAAGCCAGAATGATTATAGACATGCTGAGATGTTATTCTTTGAATACCTTAGCCTGATGTGGTGAGACAGGCAGCCAGGGAAAGCTTTGCAGACACAATGGAACCTGGCCAAGGTGGAGTAGAGAGTTGCAGTGTGAACCACTGGCAGTAAAACAGAAGAGAAAAGGTTTGTAGAACACCCAAACATTTTGTTTGGTTAGCTAGCGGTGCTGGGATTGAGGCCAAACCTTCCTTTTGTGGAATTTAGGGAGAGAAGCAGTAGTTTGAGCAGCATTTAAAAGACATAAAATCTAAAATGGAAGTGAGAGAGACTCATTTCCTGCAGTACCAATGCTCACACCTTTCACTCGCGCTAAAACAGAATGATATGCAAAACTTTCCACAAGAAAAAGGGTGGAATGCATCTATTTTAATCCTTCAAATATTGAAAATACTGATAATTCTGGTAACTATTCACTGTTTATTGATCATTGACTCATTCCTGCAAATGTTATCACTAGGCCATAATTCATTTTATAGGAGGATATATGGATCCCATTTGCTCATTAGATACCATCAAAATGATACCTAATGACATGTTTATAAATACAAACTATCCCAGTTGCACAGGCAGTGTGTTACATTACCCCATGTTGGACACTAGATGTCCTCCTTGGTATTATGTATTGTGAACGGTCCTGCAGTTGAGTTCAAGTAATACAATTTCTTGGAAGTCTATGAGGTTGGTTAGTCCTAAACTGCCATAATTTATTAAACTACTACTAAAATAATGAATATGATGGAGGAGAGCCATAACTACATAAATGTTATTAGCTCCACTTGTGCTTTTTTCTGATATGACTAGTCTAAGACTCACATAAAAGGCCTTTTTCACAGCAGACATTTTGACTTGTTAATGTTATTACGCCTTGTGCTTTTCCTACTATAACAAGGACTCTGTTCCATTCGAGTGTGCTGCATTTTTATCTCTCTGTTCCTCCCCATAAGCATTGGCCTAACTGCCGACCAATATAGAAACAACTAGTTTATACATTAGATAATAACAATGTTGCAATGCAAAATTCACTCAAGGGAAAAATAATTAATCCTTCCTCTACTGGAACCCTATTAGAAGTCAACTGCATTTTTATTTACATACATCTGGCAATGTGGATATATTACAGTGTTCCAGGCTGAATGTTTCTATAATAGTGATCTAGCTGTCATATAAAGAAATTAACATGGATTTAGCTATCAACTATACTGACAGGCAAAAGCAAACACTAGCACACACATATGCACAAGGACAACAAACCTATTTACACACTTTTCTTTCAACCCCACTTCCTAACGTTCTCTGTCTCCGTCTTTCTCGTCATCAATTACCCATGTGATTCAGCTTGACCCTGGAAGTTGAAGAAGGGCAGTTTATCCAGGTACGTGAGGGCCTTGCAGGTCACCAGGCCAGAATAGGTCTTTAATGGTGAGCATCTTCCATCTTTCTGCCCCAGGTCTGCCCACACTCTGTCTAGTTCATGGGTATTCATTCTTGCCGAGCTGAACAGATAGCGGTAACAGCAGACGTTATAGTGAATATGTTGCTCTCCTGCAAACCTGGCACTGTGGGTTGGTGCCACACCAGCCTTCTGAGCACAAAGGCCCACGAAAACATCAGCTGGCACTGGTGCACGGACTGCTGCAGACGCTACATACACTTTTCGAACGACATCCTGGGATAGAACATAAGTTGTGCCGTCGCAGTATTCAGGCAGGTACTTGTCAGGGTAGAGAGCTGGGGGCAGGTAGCCAGGACTGTTGGGGTCCCTGTCAGGAGAGTCTCTCTGGATCACCCTGCCCAGATAAAGGTCCTCGGGATGCCTGTGCAGCCCGAGTAGGTAACCTCCGATGGCAGGTAGATTGACAAACACAGAGTCCTTGGTCAGCAGAACAAAGCGTGCCACGGGACAGAAGGTGATCACCCAGCGGAGCGCCAGCACTGTCCTTTCTGTTGGGCCTCGGAGCGATGAGTCAGTAACAGCATGAGCCTGGACCATGTCCCTATGGCGGTCAGACTCTGCCATGAGGTCCTTTTGAGCAGCGGAAGTCTGAGTTGATCCTAAGAAAAACAGTATCCGCACTGGGAAGCCTTGAATGAGCGTTTGGTTGGCCCATGTCCTCCTGACTGCATCTCTTTGGTTGATATTAGTTGTGGAACTGAAGACTAGAGTGAGGAGGAAGAGGTCAGAGTTTTTGCAGGCATCGGGGTTAGCGATGGGGTAGGCCAGGGACACATTCTCCCTGGCATTGCTGAGGTCTAGTTTCCTTGCTTTCTCTCTTACATCAACAACCATGCCATCAGTGTAGACCCCAGGCGTGGGCTGCAGGAGGTACTCCTCGACAAAATCTGCCCCAAACAACAGGGCATGGAAGAGTAGCACATTGAAGAGGAGGAAACACCACTGATGGGTACGCAGTTTGCACAGGGAACACTGGAGAATGAAATAAGAAATAGACAGAGCATGAATTACTGTAAAGATAGCCAGTCAAACTTGAATCACAATGAATAAACTACAAAGAATTAACACTGTACCTGCATGACAACTGCCTTGACAGCCTTGTTGTTTCTCTGTGTTTATTAGCTGTACGTGACCAAAGGACCTCCCGCTGTAGTCAGTTCCACAACAATACTTTCTGACAGACAGGGTTTCCACTTTCATGAAACTGTAGAAGCTTGTAACCCTGCACCCCAACCCCGTGTCACATGCTTCATCAAGAGGAGTGTATCCTGCATCATGCATACAACATTAATGATACAGGTATGGAATAGTTTGATCAAGGACATTTAAGATCCCCCTGACATTAAAGACATATAATATAGCTTTAAATAGTAATTTGTCTGATATGGTTTTTCCACAAAAAAGTTCAGTTATCTTAAATTCTTAAAATCACATCTTCTCCTTTTTAAAAATCTATGAAAATGTCAATATTATCAATTCATTAACTACTAGACACACCTAATTCAGTATACACATTTTCCTATTTATCTATTTCACTACACATTTTTATATTCGAAAAATGTTATGATAAATAGGGGCACCCTGCTGGCTTACCTGGTGGAGCTGGTCCAGCAGCCACTTTAAATTTAATTTAATATCTAAAGGGCCCATTAAAAGTGCATATTACCTACCTTCAAAATAATCACACAGCTAAATAAAAGCAAAGCCCCGGATGGACCAAAGGAACTCTGTCTCAACGCTTTACCTTTCTTTTATTACCTTCCCTCACTTGTTCAGTGGTCATTTTTGTCAAATTTGCCACTGGTATAATTTTAGGAGAAATTAAGTATGCGTTATCTCTGACTTTTAAATATTCCAGGTATCACAGCACAAGTCCCAGTGGTTGTAATGGTGTAATTGGATGTCCCCTCTCTGCAGCTTCACAAAAACACAAGCCGTGTGATCACTTAAACAAAAGAATGAAAGTGGATTAAGATTGAACTGTACTATGGCTGGCATCTACGCTGAATAAACAAATGAAGGCTCTGATAAAGGGCAGCAACTGTTTTGTGTTGGCCTCAAGTGTCATTGTTGTGACTTATTATTAATTAACGTCAATATTCTTTTTTCTTCATCTCCATTAACAGGTAATTTACATCTGCTTGTCTCAAGGAATACATGACACGTGTCTAAATTAACTTTCAAGTTAAGTTATACAGAATATTATTTAGCTGTTTATTTGAATCCTCCATTCTAAACATTGCAGAGGCTCAGGGTATCTTTAGCTTTAGATAGTTCAGAAGCAGATGCTGATTATTGTGTCCTATTGTAGTTCTGGTTATATGCATGTGTGTGTGTGTGTGTGCATGTGCATGTGCATGTGTGTGTGTGTGTGTGTGTATGAAAATATATGTATAACTGACTAATATAATATAAAAAAAGTTCATTTTGCACATATATTTACAATCAATATCATCCAGCCGATGGGCAAGACCACACAGTATAGTATAATCCAATAAAAAACAGAATCTTTTTGACATTATTTGTGAAATTTCAATAACAATGAAAGCTTTATAAGGTATATATATATATATATTCATTGCAAAACTATTAGATTGTATTACATTGTTACAGTGGGTGCTCTAACTGTCTGCACTTATCATCTTGTTGTGCAGACATGCATTTTTGAAATGTATCTCTATATTTGTTGTTTTCCACAAGTGAATTTCTGTTAATGTAGCTTCTCCATTTTGCTACATTAAATCCTACTTCATTTTCAATAAGACCATATTAAATTAAACATTGATGAAAAGTAAAAGCACTATAAAACTCCCCCTTGTCTTTTATGTGTTGAAATACATTTCAAGAATGTCCTCTGTGTTGTCTGCTGGTGGAACATCTGCATCTTTCATCTTCCACAGTCCCTTCTCTGTGTATAAAGGCTCTTTGTGATCCCGGCCAGGACCAGCTGTCGGTGGTGTGACTCCCAGCAGCACTACAACAAGGAAGTGGTGGGAGACGTCTGATACTCAAGGACTTTCTCATTCATGCGTGGTTATAGAAGGTTCAAAACTGCACTATCACACAGTGACCAAAGCTGTGCATGAATGTTTGTGTGTGTGGCTGACAGTATTATCTATTATCTATTATTATTAGTGCCAACAAATCCCATGAAAAAAACAAAACGAACAATTTCTTAAACCCGTCTCACAAAACTTCCTGACACACTACTTTCCCACCAAACATAAAAAACTTAACTCACTGATTTATGCTTTCCTTTTTTTAAATATGCAAAACAATTTAAAACAGCTGGGCACTATAGATTTGAGGAAACTTTACTACTTACGTGTTTCTAATAGTTTCTTGACATCAATAGGTACATAAGGAATAAAGTATATCAGCTACAGAGCTACACGGATATTACTTATTGGCAGAGTTATTCTCTTTGCTCTTTATATGCATGTTGTAACAATCATTATTCACCAATGCCGGGTTATGGGTTGTCATTTATGAAAGTGTTCCAGCATGGAGAGCTTGAGACCTGACGATAGTTTAAGACATGAGACTGAGATCTTCACAGTGTTGTTGAGACCTGTAGAGCATCTTATGCAAGATCATATCACATATTTGTGTTATAAAGAAATAAGAAATGTTGTGCAATACTGTTTCTTACAAATAAGAAATAAAAGGTGTATTATCCTTTTAAGATCTGGAAGAAGTCATACTCCTGTCTTAATTATTGTAGTTTTCTGTTCACCACCTTGAATCACTCTTCTGTGTCTTGGCTCTGTTTTATCCAAAATGAGGCTGCTAGACTTCTACATGTCGTAGGTCACACATTACACAAGTATAAGCCAACCTGCATTGGCTACCCTTTGAATGTATAACTGATTTTTAAATTCTTCTAATACCTTGTAAAGCACTACATGGGCTGGCACCATATTTCTGAATTAATGTGTCCCCTGACCTACTGACCAAGGCCCTCTGGCAGTCCCAAAATCTAGGCTTTAAACAAAAGCCCTCTGGAACTGCTTTCCTCAAATTATAATAAACTCAGTCAAAATCAGTCAGTTGATAGTTTTAAGAAGGTACAAACCAACTCACCTGTTCCTTAAGAAGGTTTTTCATATTGTTATTTCTTGTTTTAACCACTGACAGTTTTAACTTTCTAATGTTTGCATTGTACAGTGCCTTGTAACTCTGCTTTTGAAATGTACTTAAATAAAGTTTACTTCCTTTCTTCCTTATTTACTTATGAGGCCCTAATAGGTTGATACACAGAGTGCTTTAGGGTGAAAATATCAGGAATATACTTTCTCTTCAGCTCCTTCTACAAAGTATATGTTTTCTAACAGATATATAGTAACCTGACAGATTAATGCATGCACTAACAAAGGTAGTACAGGTCTACATCTCAGATGTAACATCTGCAGTAATGAACATGATCTTCACTAAAAGGATTGCAAGTCTTGTATCAGCTTATACCAAGCATTCCTGTGGCACTGTTGAGTAATTACGGTTTGATATCCACTGCAGGAGATAAACTGTGTATTTTGGGCTACATGGGAATGTTTTGCTGTGACCCAGTTTCGCATCTGTGAGGAGGACTCAGAGTCCACCTGAGGACTTGAAGTTACCATTCCTTCCATGCTTCTTACCCTCGCTGGCTTACACAACTGTTAATGCTGTCAAGCTAACTTGTTCTGGGCTTTCAGATATTAACATCACCTGCAGTAGCCACTATTGTTTTGTGTTACATTTCTTCCCTCCAGATCCTGTCCTTGAATGACAACCACAGGGCTTTGTTATTACGTTTATCAGCATAGATTTCTGCCTTTCATTTCAGGCCAAAAAATGGGAGTTGTAATAGAAACTGATAACTACACATTTGCAGAAATGAATGGACAGCTTGTCTTTTAGAAATACAGAAAACAAAAAGGAAAAAAAAAACAATTAAGATCACATTTAAAAATTGGATCACTAGAATTTATTTTCTCACTTGCATCTTGGGGCTTACTAATGAATGCTGTGCAGCCAAATCAATTTAATAAAGTTTCCAAAAATTGTGAATTTTGGGGAAATATGTATGAAATAACGCACAAGACATTAAAGTGTTTTCATTTTAAAGGGACAGTTTACTCCAAAATCAAAATATTTTAATATTATATTATATTATATTATATTTACACCTGCAGACATCTCTACAGCAGATATCTCCAAAGCTTGGTAACTCACACAAAAACAATCTAGATGGATAAATATCAAAACATGTAAGAAGAAAAATATACATTTTTCTTTTTGGGGTGAACTGTCCCCTTTAAGGTACAAATAGGCAATGCAGTGCCATAATCTTGATTCATATTCGATCAGCACTGCCTAGTTTGACCATTTGATTAGAGTACCATGAGGTCAGCTGAGAATGAATGTCAGTCACAAGGTAGCCACACCTCAAAGAATACCCTGTTTTATTGTCTATTTTACACAAAATTGAAACTTAATTTACAAAATCCACATCATGTTGCATTGAAGAAGACTTGAAACAAGCAATTGAGACCATAAAGTCATTATCAAAGTGTTTAGTAAGCTAATAAATCAAGTGAGAAGTAGGGTCATTTCCCCATTAGACTCCATACTATCTGACTTTTTCTTGCAGCCAATGGAGCTGCCCTCTGTGGCCATTAGATAGAATTCATGTTTAAGACGCTTCTGCATTGGCTTCACTTTACAGACCATTAAGCTCTGTCCACTGTGTATACTGTCAATGTGCAGCATAGGTGAGCTGGAACAAGCCGAAAAAGAATATACATTCAGTGAGCACTTTATTAAGTTCACTTGTACAGTCTAATGCATTCTAATACACCTGTTCTGCCATAAAGTCTTCTTTTATTATGCTTAAAATGATCAGTTTTTTTAATTCAGTTAATTCATGTTTTAACATTAAGGTCATATTTAGTGGTGGTGTTGAACTGATCTGTGTTACAGTAAGAGGTGTTTCTAATATTCTGCCCCAATGCATGCATATAATAGGGAGGACAACCTATTAAACTATGACCTAATACATTTATGGTTGAATTTAAACATTTCTGACAAAGCATCATGTTGTGTTGGATTTCATTAGATTGTATGTGTTTACCTAATTAGGTGGCCACTAAATGTATGATTCTGGTAGTGTGGAATAAAATTATTTATGTTGATTTTAACAGCTACATAAGAGGTGTCAGAAGGGGAAAACTGCATGTTAGGAGATAAGGTATTCTGTTTTACATGGGCACATGTTTCATGATACATTTGTGTCTCTTGGTCCTCTCATTCCTGTCTGTTTTCAGTCTATTAGCCTTTTTCTTTCTTTACTGGATAATCTTCCTTGTACTTGTTCACAGGGGACAAGACAAAAATGTTAAGTATTTAGGACAAGCTGGGGTACAGGAAGATAAAAACCCAAGTTCCCAGGCACTGGCAAACAATACGTAGGGCAGCATCACTGTCTGGTCACTCCTATATCTCCGTTCAACCAGACGCACAGAACCAACCTTCTTCTGCCACAAGTCTGACTCAAGAAAGCAGTTGATCTTTAGATAGACCATCTTCTTCATGCACCATGTCTTTTACGTTCATTATCACGACAATGATTCTGGGCTCCTCAGTGACAGCTGCATTTGTTTTGCAGCCATCCAAGCAAGAACCTGCTGCCTCTGCAAATTCTCCTCTTTCCCCTTACAGGTCAGTATCAAAGTTGTTCTTCTAACACTTTATGTGCAATGTTCTGGTTTTGTTAGTAGTGACATTGCTTTGTATGCAGGGAACACTGAAAAACATCTTCTCAAGATTGTCCAAAGACTTATAATACAACTTGTTGGGTCACAGAGTTTATTATATTTTAAAATAGCCTCAGTGGTCTAAACTTGCCTATCAGATTGCATGTTGCAATATGTTGATGCATGCATGCTGAGGCCTTTCCACATGGGTAAAAGGGAGAATCTCTGCATGATTCAGGGACACTTGGTTGTGCAGAGTTGCAGAGTAACACACTATCCTCTTTAAGCTTCAGCAGTGGAGTCAATAACTGAGGATTTAACAATAATGCCTGGCATGCATTTAAAATATACCTTCTAACTAGTGTACTTTTATGTCTTGACTGGAGTGTTAACATAGTAACTCATGAAATGTCCTCTTTAATTTCAGCACTATTTAAATAAAAAGTGCTATGTAATGTTCAGGTTCCAGGGTGAGTCATTGCAGTCCTTCAGGAAGGGTCTCCTCAGGGATCTCAACTTGCAGGATGAGCCACAGCTGCCTGCTGGTGGGCTGGATGGTGTCAGAGAGCAATGGAGGAGCACTTTCAGCAACACTGCTCACAGAGACAAGGACTCTGCAGGTAAGTGGAACCCAAAATTCATAGAAACTGCGGGGGATCAAATACTTTTACAGCCTTAGCCTAATCATGTTATCCATTTACCTAATCCATTGTCCATTTACTGTGTCCTTTAAGTTCCAGTGGTCTCTGGCTACTCTGTGTCACCTGATGATAGAAACAGTACGAGCCTGAAGTGCTGTTCCATGGCCTCTGAGATCTTCCTGAAAGGTATGCAATAATGTGTGTATATGTTCATACATTGCAACATGCACTTATATGTTAAGAAATATTGTAATGCATGTAATATCCATGGTTATGTTTTCCAGATCTGGGATGGGACAACTGGGTGATCCATCCTGCCAGCCTTACCATCGTTCAGTGTGCACTCTGCAACACTGAAGGGAACATTGCACAATTTCCATCAGCCCACAACAACGTCCAGGATGCCGACTCACAGGTATAATTCTCTAAGACATTTAAATTTTGAAAAAAGTGTCAGCAAACCCCAATCACTATAGTCTACTAATTTACATTTTTGATTACATACTGATACATTTACTTTCCTCTCAGAATGCAAAACTGACCTGAAAAATGTCCTATAGATATGTGTGAGAGTCCGTGTTAGCGCTCTGATGGACTGAAAACTGCCTTATGCCAGATGTATGAAATTATTATGAAAATACCCATTCCATGTAAAATTCTTGCATTCAGAAACTTAAGTAGAAATGTGGTATCAGCAAAATATACTTAAAGTATCAAAAGTACTTGCTATGCTGTGTGCATCATTATGGTGTGTTGTGGAGGTGAAAATGCTGCCAGCATAAGCCTGCTTTCTCCCTCTACCAACATAAGGTTGGAATGATTTTTTATTTATATAACACCCCCGTTGTAGCATGCAATTAATGTTTGCATTTTCTTTTCTGCAGTCAGTGAAAATGTCTATTGATTAAACAATAAAAACTTAAATATGGGTCATAGATCTTTTGGGCAGTTTCTGCAGTATGGATATCAAACTGTGTCACCTCGCTGACTCCTCCTCTCTTTGTCATTCTCCAGGCCCAGTTGCCATGTTGTCAGCCCACCTCCCAGAAAATGGTACCTATCGTCTACCTGGATGAATTCAGCACTCTCGTCCTTTCCTCTGTGCAGCTAACCCACAGCTGCGGCTGTGAACATGGCAACCTCCAGCAACCCAGCAAAGAGTAATGTTTGTTTTATAGTCCTGAGTGGGTGACATCTGTGACCTACCTGGCGCACACACAAAACAGAAAATACATCATATACAGGTCTGTCGTCTCTCACAAAGACTTTTCTAGAGTATTTCTCTTTAGTTTAAGTTGTTATCTTACATCCTTAACACTGACACAATGTGTATTGAACACTGAGCATGGGAACCAAAGCAAAGTCTGTCTCTTGTTTTTCTATTCAAACCAGAAAGAATAATACAAGTGCCAGACAAACAGTAAAACGGCTCAATTATTACTTTAGTAACTGACGAGATGATTGAGCTTAATCACGTTATTGATCTCAAGTTACCATGTACATATCTGTGCTATTGTGTTTTATATACAGTTACCAACAATTAAGCTTAAAATATGCAATAAAAATAAATTTCTGTAGGCATTTGTCTCGCACTAAGAGCTAGAAAGTGCAGCTGACCCTCGTGTGATACATGCTGCCAGTTTATCTTTCAATAAATCTCCGAGCGCTATTTAAAGCTACTAACAGTTACTGAGTGTTCCCTCCAAAAATGTGAGACTTGTCCAGTGCCAAATCCTCTTACAGACTAGTTGTCTCTTTTTTGATGTGTGAATCAACTCTTATGGGTAAAAAGTCAATTTAATTCCTTATAAGCAAACTGAGGTCAAATAAAATAGATAATTGTTTAGTTGTAATTGTAAATTAAGTATACGCTCACATGTTTTGCAGGGAGAGTAATAAGTTAATATTGTGTTCACCAGCTAAACTCCCTGCAAATTAAACTTAGTATCAGTTTCTTCTAGGTATGAACAAATCTTGTTGAACATCTGTGCTGTGCTTTTCCACCAACATCTATTGGCCATGCTCCATGTTCATGTTTCAAGATAATGAGCACAATGCTTTGTTACTCCGGCCAGTAAAAAAATTTTAATCTAAAAAAAGATGAAAGCATAGTAGATAAAATATAAAAAATGAAATCTGAAGTCTGAAAATGAGTTTAAAGTGTGATTTAACACAAAAAGGGTCAGTTGATTTATTTTTGTCTGTTTCATTATATTCTGTTAATGAATCCCAAACATTTTGTTTGATTTGCATTATGTGAGCTTTTTAATGCATTTTTAAACAGCAGAGTTCTTGGTTGTTGGTTTTTTGTTGTCTCTTTGACCATTTCTCATGACTGGTTATAGTTCTCAGTTGGGATTTTCTATTTCCTTAACATATATTTTGTTTGTTTTATGTTATATGCTCCAACACAAAATTACCTCACTGTTTACTTTTTCAAATATTTTATAGTATAGTATAAGTGGACTACTACTTATGAGACTGATATATCATCTCAACTTAATTAATACATTAAGTGAATCAAATGCAAATTGTTTTATTGCGCTAAAGACCCTGATATAACATCTTAATCATTTTACTCATTTACTGATTTGTTGCTCACAATTATTTTAATAAAAAATATTGAAACCAACTGTTTTTTTTTTGCTTTCACTTGTTTTTTATTTTTTTTATTTTTGGCTAAAGTTAATATGTTAATATTATTTTGTTAAAGCCATTCCTTATGCCAGCCTTTCACATCTGCCAGACAGTTGCATGTTAAGTCTGGAGGAAGGAAAATAGCAGAGGAAGAAATGTTGGCACTGTACTCCAGAAAACCAGGCACTGGTATGGGGAAGAGCAACATGTTGCGCACTTTAGTTTTCAGTTGCTCTGCATGCACACTCATTTTCTATTTCTATTTTCTTGGCTGCCGAAGACTTTTAATCCATAAGTCTCACGTTGTGTAAGGAAGCAATTGATCCTGGACTACATTAAAGCAACTACTCTACAAGAGGACAGCACAATCTGGGCCTATAGCTTAACATAGCCAGCAGTTTTATCCTTTTATGACACTGGACAGAATGACAAGGTATTTCACACTGTGGGTATTTTGTGGCACAATGTGCCCCCTTCTGCTGGCTGTAGGGGCATTTGAGTGCTCAGAGAAGGAAAAGTTGCTAAAACTGATCCCCAGCACGGTGACACAGCTAACAGACTGTTTAATGGAGTGCACTGGGATGACGTACATCAGAAAATTGCAACTTCAGGATAATCGTAACATACGGCTTAAAGATTCCATAGAAGGTAAGGAGCCACCCAGTAACATTTTCATCTTAAAGATGCTGCAAAATGACCTATCTTAAGATGAGTGTGGTCTGATAAGATAATACCTAAACTAAATGTTGAGACAGTATTAGTAGTATAAGTTGTTCTCTCATGTCACTCCATCCCTGCTTGATTGATACAGACTTTATCAGTGTGTAGGCCTTCATAGAATATTTTCTCTTCCTAGGAGACCCCGGAGAATACTGTTGGTCTATGGAGCTCAAGTGCACTATTGGAGAGAGTTTTCAGCAAGCCTATGTGGTGTTGCCTGTGGATATATCTTCAGTTGGACCTGAGATCCTGGAAGTAAAAGCCACTGCCCCCACTGCCACCACAATGCATGCACACAACAGCCCCACCACAATCGCAGAGAACTGTGGCCTTCAGTACGATGTCACTCAGCACTTCAGCACAGAGAGGATGGGGGCTTCATTCTGCGTACAAGTTGTCACCCAGGAAGATGTCATGGGGGACAAAGTTCTTAAATGTCNNTCACCTTCTGGCAGAGAAATCCAAATCAGTCCAACCAAGACGGTGGAGGATAAAATCTCAGTGATGGAAAAAGCACTCAGATCTTTTACTTAAGTAAAAGTACCACAATGTAAAAATAATATTAGATATTATAACATTAGATAAGTCATGCATTAATGCATAAGCTTTTTATTGTGGTAGTTGGTTGAGGTGCAGCTAATTTTTAATTATTTTGTATAAGGCTGCAACTAGAAAATGGAAATACTCAATACAACACAAGTCCTGCTTGTATTATAACTATAACACATAAAGTAACGTGTAACTAATTCATAGTTATATACCACTGGCTTACACATTTACTAATTTGGCTTTATTTTCTTTCTTTGCTCTCATTTAACTCTATTACCAGCAATGATAGCACAATGAAACCTTCAGTGATTTATTCAAAAGCAACCAGAGTGATGAAAAAGTTCTCAGATAAATTATGTAAATATGATCTGTTAATTGTTGTAAGTTTTATAGCAATATTAAAAGGTTTTATTTTCCTTTTTCACCCATGTGTTTGACTATTGAAACATTAAAAGATATTATTGTAACCTTATATAGAACAAGAACATAATGCAAACCAAATTCCTGTTACAGTTAACTGCAAAACAGATTAAGTATACACTTACATCCTGGTCATCCTGTATGTGTTTGTCTGCACTGTAACAAAATTTCTTGTTAAATTACAGTAAACTACTGGCAGCTACAGTTGCTAGCTTGAAACTGTTATTCTACAGTTTTCCACCTTCTGGTCTCTTCACAGTCTAATCATGTTGAGATGATTTATAAGGGAATTTATCCATCAAAGTGGTCTTCAGGCATGCTCACATAGAGGGTTATTAGGCTCTAGCATCAATGAATCTGTTTGGAAATGCCATGTGCACATATGGCTCATGTTTATTTTATCCATAACAAAGGTGCATTAAGTCAAAAAATCATATAAGTTCAAAGTGATTATTAACTTATAATTATCTTGTTAAGTTTACTTTCATGGCTATCCATCTAGTTTTTTTCATGCTTTTAGATTTCACAACGTCTGGTCTTCTGGTGGTAAAAAGTTATAAGTTATCTGCGCAAGTATGTATCTCGGTGTTGCAGATTTAAAGCTGGCATAATTGATTTATTCTATTAAAT